TGTGGGAGTTCAGTGACATAACCATTATGCCATCTGCTGGTCCCTCTGCTTCATGTATTTTAAAGACTTATTAGGTACATATATACATTTAACATGTTTAGGTCTTTCTAATGGCTTGATCATTTCTTATGAACTATCCCTCTCTACCTTTCATAGCATACTGCCTTCCAGTCTTATTCTGCCTGACAGTAGTAAGACTATCCCGGTTTATCATCAGCGTTTGCATGGTATACATTCTTTATACCTCTACTCGCAAAAACACGTGTCCTTGTACTGCTAGTGGCTCGCTTGCAAACAGCATATGGGTCATGCTTTTCTGGCTGATCTGCTAATCTAAGCCTTTTAACTGCAGCACCTAATCAGTTTACATTTAATGCGCCTATTGATATGGTTAGGGTTAAGTCAACCAGCTATGTGTTAGTTGTTTTCTATCTGTCCTAGCTATGTTTTCTGTTCTCTTTCTCTTTTCCTACCTTCTTTTGAATTAACCAAATATATCTTATTAGTCCAATTTAGCTTCTCCTAAAGAAGCTATGCCTATTCCTCTCTACACTAACTCTTTAGTTGCACACCAGCTCCATGGCATGGTGGTAATGCACTGCTCAGGAGAAGCCAGATACCACATGGTAGCCACGGTTCAAATCCCTGCCTTTGCAGCCTGAAAACACACTTGGCTCACTCCTGAGTGGCTGAGATCCAATGGGCTAGGGGACTCAAGAAAGGGTGTCACGGGAACCAGCAGTTAGTGTAATAGCTCCATCGCTGGACTCCCACGTAGTCGACCGCGGTTTGCGTCCCGGACCCAGTGGCTTAAAACTCACGCCGGGCGCGTGTGCGTGCATGCCCAAGATCCCGAGAGGAGAATGGAGGAGAAGGGACTGCGTGTGACCATCCCCCCTGGGGGGTGATTTCTCGCTTTCTGTCTCTCTGTCTCTCTCTGTCTGTCTGGCAAGCGCACACACCCTATAGCGAAAACCTCTCAAAAAAAAAAAAAAAAGAAAGAAAGAAAGGGTGTCATGGGACCAGCAGATGACGTGGTGGTTAAGGTGCTGGACACTCCCACATGGTTGACCATGGTTTGAGTCCCAGATCTGGTGTCTTGCTTTCTCACTTTCTCTTTGTCTCTCTCTCTCTCTCTCTCTTTGTCAAATTAAAATAAACGAATGAATAAGTAAAATTCAAAATACAAAAATTCTTAAAAAAAAGAAAAAGAAAAGACTGATCCCACCCTATAGAGGCACTCATCTCTCCTTCTCTCGCTCTGTTTTTCTCTCACGCATGTGAGCATATATAATTTAACATGAATATAGGAAAAATTCTTTAGTGTTCCTACGGATTAGGAGATGTAACACTGACATACACTTACAGGGGAGATTGTATAGGAAGCTTGCTATAGTGCAGTTCTATACATCCCCCCATTTGTGCTCCTGTCTTACCTATTTTATATTGTGTGTGTGTGTGTGTGTGTGTGTGTAAAATAAACTCTACAAAACGGCATTACAATTTTAGCTTTAAATAGTGGTATGTCTTTTTAAAAAGTTTGAAGAAAAGAAAGATAACCAAATTCTGTCTGTTATGGCTACCCATGTTTTTCGAATGTCTGGTGTTCTTCATATCTTTCTACAAATCCGAATTTCTGTCTGTTGGGTCATTGGAAAAGTTATGACGTATTTTTTCTATGCAAAAATGTGTCATGGCCCTTCCGAGGACCCCCCAGTTTCACATCACCTCGTCTGAAGCACTTCCTTCACACACCGCAGTGCTCTGCCTGCTGACAACAAACTGCCTTAGTTTGCTTTCATCTAACATTATTTTTATTTTGCCATTTTTCTAAAAGCAGTATTGCTTGAGTGTTGACAACTTGTTGTTTTCTGTCAATACTTTGAAGACGTCGCCTGTGGCCCTCTAATTTCTAAGAAGTCAGTTCTCGTTCTCAGTTTTTGTTTCTATGGGTTGTCGGAAAAGTCATGACACATTTTGTATAGAAAAACAAAGAAAAATGTGTCATGACTTTTCGGACGACCCACTATAATGTAAGTAAGTTGATTTTCTCTAGAAATCTTTGAGGTATTTGTTTTATCTGTGGACTTCAAAAGTTTGAATATTATGCTTCTAAGCACAATTTTATTTGTATTTAATCCTGCTTAGGGTTCACTGAGCTTCACAAGTCTAAACATCAAGGCTTTTCAACAAGTTATGGAAATTTTCTATCATTGTTTCCTCAAACATTTTTTCTCCCCCATTCTGTCTTTCCTCTCCGCTGGGACCCCAAATAAGTGTATTGATATTTTAGATCACTGTTATTATCTCTTAGGTCAATTGGTCACTATTCGTTTTATCTATTTTTTGGATTAAGTCATCGATTCTGATAGATGTTCAAGGTTACTGTTTCCTCGTGCACAGTACATTTTATTACTCTTTATGGTTTCCATTTCACTGCTGAGACTCACCATCTGGGCCTTCAGTATACTGATGCTTTTCGTTTTTAAATGTTTATATTAAGTTGTTTGAAATCTTCATCTGCTAATTCCAGTATCTGCGTCATCCCAGATTAGTTTCTACCATCAGTTTGTTTTTTTTTTTCCTCAATGGTGAGTAATCTTTTCTGATTTCTTTATATTCCTAGTAGTGTAGCTTTTTTATTGTATTCTGGAAACAGTAAGTGAAATATTGTCAAAGCTCAGAATTCAGCTTTATTCCTCTGAAGAGTAGATATTTGTTCTAGTGGGATGTGAACTTGGCTAGAATTGAACTCTAATCTCTGCAGTGAGTTGCAGCTAAAATATGTGCTCAATCCTTTCACTCTTCAGTTGTTCTCCCTGCCTCCTGGGGTGTCCACATGTACCTGTTCATACTTCACAGAGCAGTGATGAATGAGGGCATAGTTTACACGTAGAGGCGGGGTCTCACACCCTCTGAGCTGTCCTCCTTTGTAACCCCCCTGGTTATCCAGCTGCGATGCTGGCCCCCCACAAATCTCTCTAAAAAAATATGTTCATCATATTTTATAATTGGCTTCTATATTGTTAGTCTGATTAAGTTATTCTTTCATTACCAGACTCAGGGCCCTGACCATAGATTTTAATCTTTGACTGATAAATTGTTCAGTATCCACACCCACCAAAAGACAAAAACTGTTGGCAGACAAATTTTTAAGAAATTATTTTCGCTTCAGAGCTCAAAATTTCTCTACATCATCAAGTTGTATAAAGTCAATGGGGAAAAATAGGTTTGAAAGCCACCTGATTTTAACGTTCCTGTCAGGGAAATGATGCCAAGTATGCTGACCCTGCATGGAGTGGATTAGAAGGCGTGAGCATGAACACTGAGGAAGAGCGAACTGCTACCATGAAGTGCTCCCACTGTATCCGAGTATGTGCATAATGAAGTAAGACTTAAAAACTGATTATTCTTTCTGCGTTAACAGAATTTAATAACAGAAGAATTTCTGCAACTAATGCTTTTTCCATGTGGTGAGGAAGACGAAGACGAATGACTAGAGGCCACTATCATGCTACTCTTCTCTTCATTGAAGAAGAGGCGCATTTCTCTGAGGGCTTAAATAATAAGGATCACATTTTGCGATGCTATTTGGTCTTCCTTCCTCCAACTGAAATGATCTGCTTAACAGCTTGGCACCATGAAAATGTGTTCAGCCTACTTTAGAGAGTTTGTTAGAGGCTATTGGACTCCCCCTGTAGAGTGGATAAGAAAGGTACTCAGAAGTTCTGAGATCTGCAGACACAATTATCAAGCAATTCACTTACTGGTGGTGCTTGAGCACCTTCTCAGACTCAAAATAAATCATTTCATTCCATATGTCAATCCTGATATCTCTTAAATGTAGATTTTTTTTCTGAGCCTCTGAAGAAAATCAAAGACTTTTCACTTTGAACATCACATAGGCCACAAAAAAGAGAAAGTTTTGTCAAGTGTTAAAAGAAAAATAACCCAGCCAATTTAATAGAGTTTTTATAAAGCAAATTTTAACATGATTTAAATCGGGCTGTTGTCCCTGGACTTTTGGACAACTCCGGCCAGCTTTGTGGTCAACTTGGCATTTAAGATGGCGAAACAGAAGTGTCGTTCAAAAAAAGTAAGTGAGAGAGTGAGGCAGAGAAATGACTGGTTACGTATTTTGAAGTCTGTCTGCATTAATATGGTTTAAAAGGCGATGTCTGTGATTGACAAGCCTAGCTGCTGTGATTGGTTGTAACCCAGCAACTAGCGCAGATAAACAGCCTAACTCGTACAATTTCTGCTGAGCCACGGAAATCAAAGTGTGGGAGCAGAGTGGCTGTCTTAGGAAAAATAAACCAGCCAATTTAATAGAGTTTTTATAAAGCAAATTTTAACATGATTTAAATCGGGCTGTTGTCCCTGGACTTTTGGACAACTCCGGCCAGCTTTGTGGTCAACTTGGCATTTAAGATGGCGAAACAGAAGTGTCGTTCAAAAAAAGTAAGTGAGAGAGTGAGGCAGAGAAATGACTGGTTACGTATTTTGAAGTCTGTCTGCATTAATATGGTTTAAAAGGCGATGTCTGTGATTGACAAGCCTAGCTGCTGTGATTGGTTGTAACCCAGCAACTAGCGCAGATAAACAGCCTAACTCGTACAATTTCTGCTGAGCCACGGAAATCAAAGTGTGGGAGCAGAGTGGCTGTCTTAGGCCCAAACGGCTTAATTCAACAAAGGCTATACATGAAATTATGCTTCGCACGCTGAAGAGAAAGGTAACAATTCTGACGTGATTTACTGATTGCAAACATACACACCCCATCTACCGCGATGCAAGAGGAAAAGCGAAATACATTCTTAAAGAACCTCCTTCTAAGAACATCAAACTTCTGTTTATAGGAAAGCACACACACACACATACACACACACACACAAATTATTTACTCAAAATATCGAGATGCACATACAGAGGACAGAGTTTAATTAAGCAGAGAAAAAGGAAACATTAAATCATTGCTATAAATGATCATATGTTCTTACCAAGGCTTCATAATCTTCTGCAGTTTCTGGTACCGTCTGCAAAATTTAAAAACAGTCATGTGAGGAGCGTGTTTGAAAACACTGACTTGTTACACAGAGAACACGCCTCGAAGAAAACCCAGCATTACTTAGGACAGATTTAACGGCCATGGGGTAGAGGACTTTATCCATTTTAAAACATCATGAAAAGTAACAAACTACAATTTTTTAATAATTAAAAAACATGAGAAATCAGAAAAAAGCTCCTCTCGCCCAACAATTTATTTCCTTGTGAGTTTATAAAGGTAACAAGAACAATCTGTTTTGATATGACCGGGCATATCCCACTGGAGAAAAGTTCTAGGAATAAGAAGAGGTAAATTTGCAATAAAAAAAAAAAAAAAACCACTTGAGTCTTATGGCTCCCAGGCCCGGGAGTTAAGGGAGTAAGGTCTGTGCACAGAGTCTGACCACTTCTCCTATTTTTCCAAAATCTCTTCTAAAGGCACTGGGAAGTCATGCCCACACACATTAGCAGCCCATTCATTTTCTAGTAACAGGACTCTTCCCACCTCCTGTCCCTGGCATAGTATCTCTGAGATGTCTATTTCAACCGATTACAGTATATTCTTTGGCTTATCCCTTCCCAAGACACAGAACTTCCCTTTTCCTTGAGATGGAGATTAAGCCTTTCTTTAACTAATCCCTTCCCAAGACACAGATCTTCCCTTCCAATCACCAACCTAAGAATTGTGGAACCCACCTATAACCTACAGGCGCCCCCCCCCATGTCCCGCCTTTTTGGGCCAGACCAATGGAAAAATCTCTTCACTAAATGTTATCTGTCAATCTCAAAAACAAATAAAAGGAACCCCTGTACATGATCACCCCGAGAAAGACATGTATGTCTCTTCTGCGGGCCTAGGTCACTCACGTTTGGCTTGGAAATAAATCACATTAATTATTAATTACACAGTTGGCTGTTTTTCCGTCGACAGGTCTCACATGGCCCACTGCTCAGTTCAAATCCCAGCAACTTGAGAAACACGCAGGGTGCATGAGTGCGCATGCCCCAAACCTACCAGGATGGAGACGGGGGAGATGGGCTGTGGACCCATCATGCCCCACTGTGGGGAGGGGAGGCACCTTTGTCTCTCCCTCTGTCTCCTTCTGGTGAGTGCACAAGCCAATGCAAAAACTGAAAGAAAGGTGAGCCAAAAAAGCACTAGACCACGAAGAAATACTCCGTCGTCTTTCTTCGATAAACATGCCCGTTATTTCCTTCTCTTTGCTTGAGAGAGATACCGCTTCTTCGGAGGGAAGACAAGGCTGTCTCATCTCTCTGAAATGAGACCTGCTGTACTGTTGGACACCCCACTGGAACTCTGGGATTGCAGCTCGCAATGGGCAAACCCGGCTACAGGAAGAAACAACTGCACTTGTTTTTTTAAAAAAGCTGAGCTCAGAAAGATAAAGCAGCAGGTGGCTCTGGCCTGACCAGACCACTTCCCATTCCTCCAGTCGGGCAGATCTCCCTGGCGGTAAGTGTGTTCCTCCCTCCGCATTAAACATCCTGCCGCTATTTGTCCAGCGATTCTCAATATCACCTATTCTAGGTTCCTCTGCAAAGCTTTCCTGGCCTGAATTCTCTTCCTCAGCACGACTAAGTGTGGCACTGGGGTCTGCATGCCACTTCTGCCGTACCGAGCCCAGGCCGTCCTCTGTCCTCACTCCCCAGCTCTGCACTGGCGGTAGAGAGCAGCTGGTCAGGCGCACAGGGTAGGCACCAGGAAATGGCTGCTGGCTGCCTTTGCTCTTCAGAAGTTGCAGTCTTAATGACATACAGGACAACCACTTTAGAAACGTAAATGACTACTTGAAGACTAAATCTAGCCTTTGGTAAAACTGGGGTTTAAAAACATGTAAAAAAAGCCGGGCATAGTGCAGTCCCCACTACTGGCAAGGCCGAAGCAGGAGGAGAGCCATGGCAAGGCCTTGTCTAACAATGAAAATGCATACAAAGAAAGCTTCCTCTTTCTCTCCCTCTCCTTCACCGGACTTTCCTTTAAAAAAAAAAAAAAGAAATGATTAGTTTCCTTCCTTCATCCAAAGGCCCCTGGGCAGGAGGGAAGAAGGTGGCCAGTGAGAGGCAGTCCTGGGCAGAAGTTGGGAACATGTGCAAGGTCCAGACGCTGCCCCCACTGGAAGGAACCAAGGTCCCTGAGTACTGGCCATGCCGGGACCAGAGCAAGGAAAGAGCAGCCTGAAAAATGAGCCAGACAGGAAAGAAATGTTCAAAAAGTAACGGGAGACAGGTGGGGAGACGGGACACAGCTGGAAGGAAGTTCAGCCGGTCAGATCTGGGCGGGCTGGAACCACAGTAAATAGGCACGGTGACAGGGTCTGCCTTCGTATCTGCTAGCAATGACAGAGTGCACACAGTCACGAGTGACCTGCTGAGAGTCCCCTAGGTACGGGGGACCTGGGACAGATGCCCAGATCTGATTTGTGCACCGTTTTCCAATTTCCACCGTGCAACTGCTCTCACCATGGCCCATTTAAAGACCAACAGGACCTCAGTGACACAGAGGACCTCAGTGACACAGAGCTATAAAGAGTTGTGCAAGAGTGGCTCTCAGGAATTGGTACTGTCAGCACCCACTGGAAATAAGGATAGAAACGAGTAAGTAGGTATGGAGAAAATCAAGCCTTTTTTTTTTTTTTTTTTTTTTTAGGGACTTTTGCTATAGGGTATGTGCGCTTGCCAGAGAGACAGAGATAAAGAGACAGAAAGTGAGAAATCACCCCCCAAGGGGGATGGCCACACTGCAATCCCTTCTTCTCCATTCTCCTTTAGAGATTCTGTGCACATACGCATACATGCCTGGCGTGAGTTTCAAGATGCTAGGTCTGAGACTTGAACCATGGTCGACCGTGTGGGAGTCCAGTGCCTTAAGTAGTTTTAAAGTATCTCCCTACAAAGCACCTATGAATTTACTGCAGGGGCTAAAGAGGGGTGTGCCATCATGGAGACCCTGAAGACACTACCTCAATGGTTCAGTGCAAGTTACCGCCAGTGGGGACATCATGCACCAGTCACTGGACACGAGGAGAAGAAAAACAAACAATGCACAAGCACCAGTGGGGTTCCAGCCGAAGGCATATAATGCCTGAGGAGAAATAAGTGGACGAACCGTACAGAGTTCCGTGTTTCAATGGAAACTCTGCAGCTCTGTAAGAGGCCCTTCGGGCTATCAGATGCTAGCCCTGTTGTCCTTGAGCTCTTCCATACGTTTGTAAACGGAGGTAGGTAGTGGACCTACAGGTGCGTTTTCACCCTGTCTGGCAACAATTTACCTGACTTGCTTCTGCAGGGAAAACCAGTTCTGTCTCCTTTTGCAGTTCGCACTTTATTCCATATACTTAGTGTCCGTTTGACCTTTCCTTTGAAACAGTTAAAACATCTGCCTGGTTCTCTCACAGCATATGAGTAAAACAAGATTGTAACACAATTTTATGTGCATATCTGTATGAGAGCCGGGATTTACCTTTCTCTGAAAATCACCTTTAACGAACCAGCTTTAACCTGGTTGGAGGATATTCCACGAAATGGCTGACCTATAATCTATTAAAAAACGCCAAAGTCATGAAAGTGAAGGAAAGGATGAGGAACACTTCCAGATTAAGAGAGATTAGGGCCCAGACATTGGTACAGTGGTTAAGGCAGCTGGATTCCACATGGCCAGCTGAGCAGTTCACATCCCAGACCCTGCAGCTTGAAAAAACACACCGGGTACATGCGCGTTTGCACCCAAAACCTTGAAAGAAGGGAGAAATGGAGAAGGGATTACAGCATGGTCATTTCTAGTAGAAGTGCTTTTTTCGCTCTCTGTCTGCACTGGCACCCTCTGGCAAAACAAAATAAAATAAATAAAAATAAAATAAAATAGCAATTAGGAGACAGGACGACAAGGAGGAACTTTGGGCTCCTTCAGACAACTGGCAAAAGCTGTGAAGCTGGACAGCTGCTGAGACTTGACGGGGCCTCCAGGTGAAGGGTGAATGGGAGCTCTCTGTTCTGGTTTTCCAGTTTCCCTATAAAGTCGAAGCTGTTCTCTCTTAACGGCGTGCTTGTGTACGTGTGTGCGACACACAGGGCAGTCGCTGCAAAGCTTCGCGCTAACCTCCGGCCCACACAGGAGCCCCAGGATGCGTCCCCCTGCCCCACCTCTCCTTGCAGCCCTGGCCGCTGGGTTCTCCTGACCAGAGCAGCCTTCGCTGAGCACCTGTCGCCGGCTTTCTTACTTACCACCCTTTCCGTTCTCACTTGGCTTTGGCTTATGTATAAAGAGAAGGAAAACTTTTTGTTGTGATGTCTGTCTATTGTGCTAACTGGGGCATGTATACCCCCTACTCCTATGCCTTCCACTCCTGTTTTTTTTTTTTTTTTTAATGTGACCAGAGGAGCTGTTATTCAGTTATTCTGGAGAGGCTGCTTTTTCTGTGGCCAGAAACCTCTCCCAAGGGCCCCAGGAATGGCATTCTTTTCACCAGGGGAAGATAATCTCTTCTTTAAATGGGCAGTGTGACCCTTCTCATTTCCACCTCAGGCAGCGGAGGGGCGCGATGGACAAAGATGCAGAGAGAAAGCTGAGGTGGGAGGGCAGATCTGGTAGGGATGTTCTCTGACAAAGCCCTGGAGGGCTGGCCCCTCTGCCCTTTGTGATGCAAATTCCTGGCAGGCCAGAAGAACTGTTGAGTCAGACTCTGATCTGAGCTCAGAGCTCCGCACTCCAGGAAAACAGGCAGAGGGAGCTGGGAGCTGGGAAGCCTTCACAGCAGGGCTGACTGCAGGGACCACACTGAGATGTGATGCTTCTTTCTGCCTCAGTCTGGAGCTGCTGCTACTCCCTGTGGCCTCCCAGGGGGTGAAATGCAAAGCTCGCAGGGTGCCAGGCTGGTCGGTGGCCTGGCCCTCCCAGAGCAGCCAGGGCTGAGGAGGGACAAGCTCTCAGAAGCACTGGCACAGGAGGCCCGCAGTGTGTGTCAGTGAAGAT